TTTTTAATTGACCTGATGGCTTGGGTTTACTTAGCCCATGTTTGTCTATCATTATTCCAAAAAAATGTTTACTATAGTAAGATTCCCCACCACACATTCACCCAATAAAATATTCTACATATAAATCAATAAAATTACTTTAATTTCAACCACATATTCTCCAAAAAATACCATTCATTGCTCAATTTTTCTCTCAATAATGGGAGACAAACACACTATAGTAAAATCTGCATTTCCATTTTTCTATTAATTTGTAGTTGGCAATGCAATAGCCCGATGGATAAAACTTTTTTATGCATATGGGCTAACATGTCGTGTCTCTCCTTACGATGAAATTTGTTGCTACATCAAGTAATACATCAAGTAAGACATGATAATATCCTACGTAGTTGGGCTTATAGGTCATGTCTCGTAACAAGGGAATATCTCAATAGTTATAGAGAATGATAAAATTGAAAGATTGATTTTTATTTGATGAGTAAAAATTTGAATATTACAAGATTGAGAATAAAAGATAAAGAAAACTTTCAGAATACAAGAATAATTTTAAAATTTTCTTGAAGATATTTTATCTCCCGCTAAAACACATTTGAGGAAGTCTTCAGTCTTCATCTTCATTTATACTTGAAGTTTCGGACTTGAAATCATCTTGAATTGAACTGAAAAATCTTGAAGGACAATATGGAGAGCAATAATATCTGTACTTGTTATTCTTTGTTTGCCATAAATTTTGAATTTTGCCTATTTCATCCCGCTTTTTTGAATTATGAAATCTTCTTTATTAAAGTTGTTTTACTAAAGTTTTTTGAGTGTCGGTAAAGTTGGTGAGAATAACTTTGTTGGTGGCAAACACATTTGAAAAATAGTGCATTTCTTGAACCTTGAATCCGATAATTTCAATATTCATCTAAATAACTGGGTCCATGTAGTTATTTTGAATTTCTTGCTGAATCAACTCATCAATGTTCTCTAATCCAAATCACACATCTTTGTTTCTTTGTTCATAGTCTGATGATTCTGACTGAGAAGAGTTATCATCATTTGATTTCTTTGAAAATGCCTCAACCAATGAAGCAATTTTCTTTGAAATAACTTGTAATTCTTCCGGTGTTTTACACTGATTGAATATAGCCATGAGTCTTGATTTTTTTGCAAGAAAATTGGTGTGCTTTCCAAATTCTTTCTTTGACAATTTTGGAATACTAATATTTATTTGTTCTTGAATCCATGAATTTACAGTCTTAGGGAAGCAATTTGTCTCGTGGAATTTTGACAACCATTTAACTTTGAGTCTTCGAACAATCCTTTCCACATTGAATTTAGAATTTGCATTTTTAACAATATGATAACCCTGGCAGAAAATTCACAAGACTTTGACGTTATGAGGGAATTGAAGCAAAATGTTTTCTTGAGGCTTTTAAAATGTTTTTACCTCTTTTTTGAAATGTTTGAACCATTGAAGAGTAAGATCGGGTAAAATCGTCTCGTCGAGTCCAAGATGTTCGAACCAATTTTGAAATAATTTTGAAAAATTTGTAACACGGGCTTGATTGAAAAGTATAAACCAAATATGTTACTGGTCTAAAATTAAAAAAAAAAAAATTAAACCAAGCATCTTGATAATCAAAATAATTGAAATGAGATTCAAATCAGTCATCTTTCGATAATCGCAGTTTCTTCTCATTCCATGAGTTTTGTCTCTAGTCTTCGTAAGACAATATCATTTGAATTGATGTTTTTGAGAAATCAATGTAGTTTTTCTTTTGAGAATTTTGAGTATGAGTTAGGGTTGTCCGTGGGTCGGTTAGGTTCTGAAGAGAATCGAACCGACCTAAAACTGTCGGGTATTTAATAAATGGAACCGTCAGATCCAAATATAATTATGGAACCGTTCGCTTTCGGTTCTGTTCGGTTCGGTTCCGTATCATAATTTTGAATTTAGAAATTGGGTTGGACTGGACTACTTAGGCATGGATTTAGTTTGGAAGTTTGAGCATTAATCACTAAATTAATTAATTTGCTAATTTGTTTAGAAAAAATTAAAATAATTTAATTAATTCAATATAAAAAATATAAAAAAATTATTTAGTTTCGGTTATTATTCGATTCTTTGGTTCTTAGTCTAGACCCGAAACCTTGTCCAAACCCATCGATTTTCGATTCGGGTACCCATTTGGGTATTTAACTTATGAAGAACCGTTCGATTCGGTTCGAGTTCGGTCTGGTTCGGTTCGGAACTTTTGGACACCCCTAGTATGAGTTATTTTGGCCGATCCTGATTTGACGGGGATAACTTTATAATAAACTTCAGTCTTATTGATATTTCTTGGCATGAAATGAAAATGAGGAGGGAAAAGATTTTGAAGATATTCTTCAAGGAAAGAATATCTATGGATCCACGAAGTTTCCATTTCGAAGACAGGAATTTGAATATGTTTGGTAAAGTAATGAAAAGATATTGAGGGGTTGATGTCTGGTAATTTTTCATATCCAATTTGAATGACTTTTTTCTAATTTGAGGGTTTTTTTCTTTAGAGATTTTCTTATTCTGAGGTGTTTGTAAAAATAATTTTTTTGAAGTAAGAGTGGTTTTTTGAGAAGTTGAAGAACTTTGTCCTTCATTTTTTATTCTTCTTTGAATAAGAATTCATCTCTCTCAATTTTTCTCTCAACTTTGTTTTGCAGAAGCTCTCTATTCAAGAAATCTGCAAAAAAGTTTGATTTACCTTGTATATATAGAATTTTAGAATCAAAGCAAGATATGATGGCCGCCATCTCGCGAAAATCTATTTTGAAACAAGTTTTTTTACTTTTTCTTGTAAAATGTCTTTTGATGCTTTGTAATATATGTTTTTAAAACAAATTTTTTTATTGATTAAATCGTCTTGAAATTTTGAAATGTATAAACAATTGCTAAAATTATTTTTTTGATAGTGGAATAATTAAGGGCCAAAAACCAGAATGGGATCTATCCAACTGTTCTTGACTAAAGTTGACATGAATTTGCTTTAAAACTCTTCAAAAACCTATATCAGACACATCCATCTCAACGATAATAGAGGTTGTGGGGTCAAAGATTGATAGATAGGGTATACTTTTGGCATCATCTTTAACTTTTCGTACAGCTAAAGTGTGCTCATAACTTCAAGGGACCGGATTCTTTTGTAAACTCTTGAAAAGAGGGGCACATAGTATCCTTATCTCTTTATTATAGTCAAACACATAATTGATACATCCTAAGAATCTTTGAAAACTAGCTTTATCTAAGAAATACACACACACACACGTCTCAAAACTTGGTACTACGTATTACATACCTTACATCATTTTTGCTTGAATGAAGTAAGATGCGTATTCCGATTTCATAGTATTGACTTAGCAATGTGTTAAATTTAAGGGGCTGTCTGGCTGTGATTTCTCCACAAACCAAATCGATTAATGGACAGTTGGGTACTGCAGCCTGGGTACCAGTTTGCAGCCAAATTAGACATCATCAAAATTCTTGAAAAGAGGGGCACATAGTATCTTTATCTCTTTATTATAGTCAAACACATAATTGATACATCCTAAAAATCTTTGAAAACTAGCTTTATCTAAGAAATATATACACACACACGTGTCAAAACTTGGTACTACGTATTACATACATTACATCATTTTCGCTTGAATGAAGTAAGATGCGTATTCCGATTTCATAGTATTGACTTAGCAATGTGTTAAATTTAAGTTTTTCTGAAGCACAAGTATGCTTGACTAATATCAAATTTTTACGCTATTGATCAACATAGACGAGTGTAGATATAGTGCATGTGTGAGAGTGATTTTATGCTCTATTTGATTCAGAGTAGATTAAGCTCCTGTTTGATACACATTAAAATTTTTATTCTCATTCTTTTACTCATTTTCAACAACACATTTTTTAATAAAATAATATTTTCCATCACATCAATAACTTTTTTTTTTAACCATACATTCTCCATCAATCTACTATTTTAGAATATATTCTTCCAAAATAATGTGGCTCAAATACATTCTAAATCAAATTTAGCGTGTGTCTGGACACGCTTTTCAACCTGATTTTATTACCGTTGAACCAGTCAACGGTAAAAAAACCAATTAATCTGCAGAACTTTTGGGTGTGTTGTGTTAGAACCAAACGTTTTAAAAATCAATTTTCACTTTTTGGCAGCTCCACCAGACAGGCCCTTAATAATTAATTATAACTACATATTCTATTAATTTTATTAACATTTATTAAAAAATTAATTTTTATTTTAAATAACCTCTTTTTGGTGGGGACTAAGCCCCCGTTTGGCTCCTATTTTTTTTTCCCATTCTCATTCTTTTTCTCTCTCTTAATTTCAACCACACATTCTATCAATAAAATAATATTACACATAAACTTAAAAATTTTTCTTACTTTTTAACCACACATTCTTTCATCAATCACTATTCAAAAACATATTTTTCTACTAAAATGGATGTCAAACACTCCTTAAGGCACCGTTTGGTAACCATTATTCTAGAAAAAAATGTATTATTTGTGTCAAATCACACATTTTTTGTGGTTGAAAATGAAGGAAAAGTTATTGATGTGATGGAAAATATTATTTTATTGATGAATGTGTGGTTGAAAATTAGTAGAAGAATGAGAATGAAAAAAAGAATGGTTACCAAACGGTGCCTAAATCAGATTATCAGTAGATATTGATAAAAGTTAATGAAGCATACTATTGAAAAGTTGTTAAATATATTTTTAAAATTATTTAATTTGAATTTTAACAGAAGGCTATATTTTCCGCACAAACTCGTGTAAAAGTTGCGAAAACGAAGCATTGCCTTATGAAAAGACAAGCGTATTGATTGATTGATATTTTTAGATTAATAAAAAATTTGAAAACGACGCCGTCACCTTATATATTCCCTTCCCCCAGCTCAAAATTCAAAAGTTAATCCCTCTCAGAATCACTACCCTCGCGCCACACTTAGCCGCCATCTCCATGGCGCTTTCCACCGCTCCTCCACCACCTGACCCTCCTCCCACCGCTGCTGCCGTCTCCACCTCCACTACCACCGCCGCAACAACAAGACCCCTCTTGCCTTACCCCAGACCCCCTAATCCCCACCCACACACCCCAACTCCCAACCTCTTTAATTCATCCCCATCAAGACAATTGCCTTCCAATCCCAACCCGAGTTACGCTCAATTGGCCCCCCGGCCACCCCAATCCGACCTCCACTCTCGCCCACAGGACCCCTCACAGCTGCTTTACCCCATCGCCTCCTCCGGCCGAGGATTCCTTCCGAGACCCATCACCATGCTTGCGACCCGACCCACCTCGAGGCTACCCCTGGCGTTCTCTGCTACGGATTTAGGTCAGGGTAGTTCGGGGTAAGTTAGGCCAACTCACTTGCCGCACGCGCTCCTTGGCTCTAGTCCCAGTTCTACTGCTACGGGGGTCGTTCCAGGTGCCGCAAAAGGAATTCCTGTATCCACTTCACACCACCTGAAGGTTCGTCTGTTTTTAAGTATTAATTTTTGTTATTTAATATATTTGAATAAATGTGATTCTGCTGCTTCGTCTTACTGAACTAGATATAAGCTGTGCAATACTTGTGATATCTTCAAATTCGAAGAAACCCTCTGATTAAAACTCGCTCTTTGACATACCCATATTACAGTAAATTTTCAAAATAAGTACCACATGAATCCTTATTTACTTATCATTTTCCAGAGAAAATTACTTATCAGAATTCTTTTCATATGTCATTGTGTTAATTTTTGTATTCTTATTTTCATTAATATGGAGTCATTGGGTTAAAAATTCTAAAGAACATTTCATATACAATTATACTTATGTTACAGGTTTGTATGCCAAAGTGACCTGGATTTATCCCCAGTATGTTTTGAACTATAATAGCTATGGAAAGTGGTAGATTGTGAATGCTTTTAGCATATATGGACGAAGAAGAAACATAAAAAGGTTGAAATAATACGTTTGCACAGCATCAACAAGTTGAGTCAACTGAGTTCCTGTAGTATAAGTTTGAGACTTAAGAGCTTTGTTGCAGAGACATTTCAGCTAGGTGGCGCGTCCGAGTCCGATACCTATCATCTTAGATTTTGACACTCTTCATAATATTTTTCTTTGAAGTAATATATTTTAATTCAAAGTTATTATAATATAACAAAAAAATACTCTTATTTAAAAGATTTCAACAAGAAAAATTAATAACAAGTATAAAACTAAATTTATACTATATAAATGAAGAATTTTTAAGAATTTAATCAACGTGTCGATGACGTATCGTGTCTGTACCTTTTTTTAAAATCGCGTGTCGGCGTACCCGACATGTATCGTGTCCGTGTCGGTTTCTCAATATTGGGGGAGCTTCTGAACAAGCAAAGAACATAATAGAGATCCTCGGATGAGTCTAAACATATATAGAATAAACTCAGAATTTTAAGGTGGACTAAAGTAGCTGGAAGCCTTGTTTGGACTTGACCTGCTGCCAAAATCATGAAAGCGGATGGC